CAGCTTCCCAATCAATACTTGCGGAGTGAATGGCTCTGGGTCTCTGAGGCTAGTGTGGGGTCCCTTACCCTTGCAAGACTGGTCCTTTGCCCTTGGACCTTGCTTAGGAAGGAGCTTAGATCTGGATGTCTCCATCACTCTCCTGGATGCCCCATATCTTCCCAATCTCACCTAATGGCCAACAGCATCACTCAGCAACAAACCCCTTATCTCATGATCTCACTTCTTCATTCTGTCACCAGCAAAACCTCACCTAGGGTTCAAAATATTTGGGAAAGATTAAAATAAGCATATATTAGCTTTAACTAAGAAGTGGAAGGTGGAGGGTGTGAAAGCTCCACAGAGGTGTTTCCCATGATCACATGACTACAATGTACCAGGTACTGTACTAATCACTCTGACTCTTTATCCTGTAAACTCAGTATTATTGCCTGTATTTTCAGTAAGAAAACTGAAAGTACTTTGTATGAGATCACATAGCTGGCAGGCCACAGAGTCAAGATTTAAACCCATATTGGTCTGACTCCAAAGTTGCTAAGATTAGTACACTTTTGCAGTGGTCACGGACTTTATCTCAAAGGATGTTTGGGCTGCAAAGGCAAGAGAGCAACACAAGGGGTACAGATGCATCCAAAACCTTCCTTAAGGTTCATAGGAGACATATACTCTACCTGTTCATTCAGGGACATGGCTTCTTAGACATTCAGTCTCATCTTTCCTTCACACCCTTGTCCTTCATCTAGGTGCATTTCAGGGTTAGTGTTCCACAGCATAACACACAATTGAAAATTCACTTCGTGTTTCCAAGTTCTGGATTCTAAATTTGAGATAAGAACTAACTTTCTCCCTATTTCCACCAAGAAGGAGGGGGAAGAAGAAAAGTAAGGGGTGGGGGAGGAGGAAGAAGAGGAAAGCACCACTTGAATTCCTGACCATGTTTATTGAAATTAAAGCTAGTATTATCTTGGGTACCAAGTTAATGTCGCTGTTGTTACTTGAAGAAACCAAGGTATAGGAAAACCATAGTCAGCTTGATATCTTGAGGATGTGTGTTCAAGCTTTAGGACTACCACGGTTCAGCTCAGCTCACTGTTCCTCCAGTAGCATGTCCTTCCTTTAACAGATTCATTGAGCTAACTTTTGCAAAAGCCTCCTACCAGCCCAAGGGACCAAAAGTGAGCCCCAAGTGTTTGTGGAAACACTCCAATTAGCTGAACAGTGGTAATCTATATTAAAGCACAAAGAAGCCTATGACCAATCAGGTGAGTGGCCTTACAATACAGAAACCCTAAGGGAGAGACACAAACTAAATGCTTTCTTTTCCTCATTAATAGTACCATCAGGGTTACTGCAATGATGTTATTAAAAAATCAGTTCATAGCTGATAGTTTGTATCTCACATTCCTCCAACCTAGAGAATGGTACACAGATGTGAGCCTCACTTCCTGTGCTGAACAAAATCCAAGAACCCTCTTATAGGTCCCTTGGTGTCCTGGCATTTAGCCCAGCTGCCAAATCTCAAATGTGTGCAGGATCCATATGAGGAAAGCGATGTTCATTTTAATCTCTATTATATTGGATTACATTACCTCGTTGGTCAGACTAGCTCAGACATTGCTCATAGACTGACTGACTAAAGGCACTTTGGCATTAAATTGCCATATTGTCTGATACATTAAAGCAGGGATCCTCATATTGGCTAAAGAATAAAGCTCCTTAAAGCTGCACAGAAAGAGTGACCACAGAAAAAGAAATTTGGGGGCCCAGAAATGCTTGGTGCCCTCTTGCTCTCAGGAGATGACAATGTGAGATGCAAAAACCCAGAGTGGTGATGGTTTTGCACCAACTGGAAAGGGCCATCTGGCTGCTCACCAGCTGTCCCTTATAGTACCAGATGTAGTTTCCGTTCCTACAATAACTCAAAATGCTAATAGGAGAAGAGCCTCAGGGGTCATCAATCCCAACCTCCTCTCCTTTTGTAGATGGGAGAACCAAGGCCAGAGAGGGGATACCGTTCATCTAGGGAGCAGCAGAATCACAGAGAAATTGGATCTCCAGATTCCTAGCCAATTATTCTTCTCACTAGGTGTTGTTGTGTCTTTGGAAAACATGCACAAATGGTAATTTTCCACAGAAAGGAAGTCAAGTTGTAACAATCCAGGGTATAGACTTTGTAGACAGAGTCACTCAGTTCTAATTCAGCCCGCAGATAAGTTGGGTGACCATAGCAAAGCACTTAACTGTTCTGGTCTTTAGTTTCTCCATTTATAAAATGAGAATGGCAGTAGTACACAGCTCATAGCATTTTGTGAAGATTAAATGAGTTAATATATGTTTAACATTTAGAATCACACTTGCCACATGGGGCACCTGGGTGGCTCAGTGGTTTAAGCCTCTGCCTTGAGCTCAGGTCATGGTCTCAGGGTCCTGGGATCGAGCCCCGCATCGGGCTCTCCACTCGGTGGGGATCCTGCTTCCCCTCTCTCTCTGCCTGCCTCTCTGCCTACTTGTGACCTCTCTCTCTCTCTCTCTGTCAAATAAATAAATAATCTTAAAAAAAAAAAAAGAATCACACTTGCCACAGAGAGAGCACAACATAAATACATGTTACCATCATCATCCTAAGCAAGCTGAGCAGTCTTTATGCCTGCTAAGTCACCCTCACGGTTTCTACTCTATGGAACACTCCAGAACTGAAGTTTAACTGTGGCTACAAACCTCTGCCTGATCAGCAATGAACATCTTATTGCAACTGCCACGCACCACCAGAAAGACTCATTTCTCTTTATGATTCTGCCTCCTTCTCTCTCTGTACCTCACCCTTCATGCTTTGCCTTCCCCATATACTGCTTTTTTCTTCTTTGTTTTAGCGATATCCAACCTTCTGCTGGTAGCATGACATCCAAAGAAATGCTTAAATACACTGGTAGAACTTGGAACAAAGTGATTCCTACACTAAAGATCTCTGCCTCTCTGGAGTGGAACTTATTAGGCCTTCAGTTGTTTCTTAATAATATCAACATCATGAATTAGACAAAGAAATACATATAATTAGTTTAATGTATATTCTCTCTTTTTTTTAAATCTATCTATCTTCTTTAAAAGGTAAGTGATTTAGATGTTCTAATGAGTTCATAAAGAAATAAGCAATGCAGATTTGTTAGACATGTATGTTTCTATAAAAGTATTTATCTATCTATATCAATATCTATTTACTGACAGAGAGAGCTAGATACTTTAAAGGAAACATATGCTTTACCAATCTGCATTGGTCATTTCTTTATGGACTCATTTGAATATCTAAATCTATCTTTTGAGGAAGATAATATAGAGAATTACCTTGAGCTCCAGCTTGGGCATTTTTCAACTCAGTACATTCTATAAGCCAGTATGGTTCCTTAAGATATATTTCTTGACTGGTGGAGGCCCCAGAGTCAGGCTACTTTCATAAATATGTATGAAGCCTTCATGGGGATGATAGCACTGGGCTTGTGCCTGGATCCTGCCCTTGTCTGTGAATATTCTATAACAAAAATGCAGAGGACAATGAGCCAGACTCTCAAGCCATCAAAATAGAATTGTCAATAGAATCGTATACACTGGAAATCTGAGGAAGAAAAGGTATCCATGTGGAAATTCCTGGACTTGGAACAGTTCTGTGCTCATTGCTGAAGTGAGAAGCTTATACTTCCCCAAGAAGAAGGTTAGCATCAGTCTCTTCCTAGGCAAGGCAGGGATCCACACCATCACACTGACAAGCAAGCTGAATGATTACAGTTCTGTCTTGAGGAGAACCCTGCACCATTTTTTCTTCTTAAATTAATCGTACTTATTTTCAATAAGCCAGTTTGCTTCTCAAAGCAAAGGAAGTCCTGGCTTGAGAAGGCAAAGAGGCATGCTTGTCTTATTTGCAAACTCCTTTTCTTTGTCACTGGCTCTACAGGAATGTCTCTTGATGGCTTCTCACCCCTTGTGTTATTCTTGTTTCCATGTTCCCTACTCTCTGCTTGCTAGCTACTGGTCTTGCTTATCACTCCAATTTCTTATGGCTTTCAAATAAAGATGATGGAGAAATGCAAAGGTGAATTAGACCCTGACACACTTGCCTGGGTCCTTAGCACAGGTTTGGCAATCCCACGTCATGTGATTTGTCTTCTCGAGGGTGGTAGGTGAAGTGAAAAGAGCAACACTTGTGACTCAAAGGTCTTGTTTTATAATGGAGCATGGGTGGCTCTCTATGGCATGTAAAAGGGCCAGAGAGACCAGAAGAAAGGGTGAAGGGAGAACTTTATCAGGCTGCACCATTAGGGGTCCATTTGGAAAGAACACAGAGTCTTCTTTGTGGACTCCAGAGAGTCACTGCTGACTGATGCAATAAACCCAGTCATAGTCTTTAAAACTCTTGAGTATAATTATCGATTCTTCCTCAGCTACCTCAGGAAGAGCCTTCACAATACCTGTTACACAGGATGAAAAGTTGGCCACACAAACACCTAGAATCCTGCTGCTCACAATGTGTTTCCATTCCTTTTGCTTTCTTTCCCCTACCTACTTCTCTCCACCATGAGCTGTCCCCATGCCCCATGCCTGCCCTCCCCTTCCTATTCCTATCTGTCGTGGACACCATCTCCACAGTTAGAGCACAGTACTACTTGCAAAGTAACATCATGCCATACCATTTAGCCCTAACTGCTGCCCTAACTTTTTAGCCCATAGGCCTATCTGAACGCCAATGCCTCCCTCCACCCCTTTTATTTTTTAAACCTGTCTTTGAGAGCAGGCTATAGTGCTTAAGGTACTTCAGTGAGTTACCCCTTTGGGTTTCTAAATACTCTCAATGGGTGTTTTCCATTTGTCCAGATTTGTAAGGATCAATGGTGGGACGTGGGAGATGGGGGAATGCTCACAGAGAAGCATGTCTATATATATGCTTGTCAGGGAATAATTACGGTACCCTTTGGGTGCATGCTAATGGATCTGTCTCTCTTTCCCCTACACAGGGCCTGGAGCAGTCATTGATGGTGTAAACTCGGCTTCTAGAGCACTGGCTTGTCTCTGGCTATCAGGGACCCTCTTTGCCCACTTCTTCATCAAGTTTTGATAAGAAATCATAGGTCCTCTGAGCAACGCCTGCTTCTCCATATCACAGACTTTAATCTACACTGCGGAGGGCAAACCAGTTTGGGCTTTTTGTTTGTTTGATTCTGTTCTTCTTCTTGATTTCTTTTGGGGGAGTTTGATTTATTTGATTTTTTCCTCTAGTTTGAATGAGTGGGGTGGGGAGGAGGGGTGGGCAGGGTTCTACCATGTGTAGGATAATCATTCATTGGTGTGTCCAAAAATAGAATCTGCCCCTGCTACCTTGGCCCTTCCCTTTCCTCTGCTCCTCTCCCCATCATCATCACTACCAACCTCCCCTCCCCCTACACACCAAACCATAAGCTCCATTTGGGCAAAAATGTGCCTCATGATAAACACCCTGAAGACACAACTTGACTTATAATGTAGTGCACAGCAAGAGTTATATCCAAGTGTCCTATTATTGGTGTCTTTTAAGCTTGGGATCATTTTTCTTATTATAGTGTACATATCCCTCTCTTCATGCTTATTATTATCTAATTACATTCGGGTTCACATCCTTTCTTTCTGGGAAGATATCTCAATATACCCATATCCATACATATATATATTTTATTTTCTTGTCTCCTTCTCTAGCCATTCTGCCCTATTTGCTTTCTCTATCAGCTATAGAAATTAGAGGTTTGGGGCTCTGCACACAACCTAAAAGTAAAAGATTAGAAGTCACTTGACCAAAAAAGGGGGAAGCATTTTGAGGATAGTACTTCTCTTTAAAAACTGTTGTCTAACTCATTAAAAAAAAAAATCCATAGATGGCTGATTATTTAGGGTTTATCAAGCTATTGAAGTAATCATATGATTATCCATCTACTCAATTATTTGATTTATCTCTCCCTCCAATTATCTACCCACCCATCTTCCTCTGTAGCAATCTATTTACTCCATTCATCAATCTATCAATGTAATTATCTAACACTTTCTATTTCTTTCCCTACTACTCACTATCAATTCATCACCATATTAATTTCTAATCATATCAGGTCTCTTCCATTTTATTTGTTTGTACTCTATCTTCAGCAGACATTGCAACTTCAAAAATACCTATCGACTTTGTTATGAAAGCCAATGGTCTTACAGGCTAACAACATAGACAAGCAATATGTCAAGGACTCTTTGGAACATGGTATCCTATCCATCCAAAGTAGATGCTATTAACAGATGGACCAAAGTAGCAATCTAAGGATCAGTCACTCACTATTCCCAGAAGAGACTATGTTTCCAAAAACATCTTCTTGGGAAACATATCAGCCCTGGAAAAGCCTTGATCAATACTATGGTTTTTTGTTTTGTTTTGTTTTTGTTTTCATTTTTTTCCTTTCACACTTGAAGGACCAAGGGGGCAACCTTCATGTTTTTCTCAGCCTTTCAAGAAAGTGTATGTCGGGAACCTACGGGACTTGCTCCATGGATGGCTTTTCTTAATAGCAAGAACATAGAGAGGAAACACATGTCTGTCCCTGCAGTGTGAAGAGAGAAGTCCACCTGAGTGCAATGACTTCAGCTATTGTCTCCTCCCCTGCTCCAGTTTTGGTTTAATCTGTTTGAAAACTATCCCGTAAAAAGCTGATGGAAGCCAATTACATGGCGGGTGTGTTGACAACTCTGGTATTTGTTTCAGGAAGCTCTTCTGAGCTGAGGGCACTTGAGCAACTGACTTAATTTCCAAGCACTTGATTAACACAACACTGCAAACAGGAGGGGAACGTGTAAATGACACACAATTTCCTCTGATACAGGCTGCTTCTCTAGTAGCTTTGGGGAAGAATGTCCTCAGTGTTCCATGTTCAAAGCAGTTCCAGAAGACAAACAAGAGCTGACCGGACATTTCTGCATCATATCTTGGGACCAGAAGGACTCGGCCAGCAAGGGTGCCCGTAATCCAGAAGAATGCTATTGAAAACCATGCAAGGTTGCGCCCCTTTTTACCTGTGCCCCAAGGGCTGACCTACTAAGAGCATGAGAAAGAAGCATCAATGGTGACTGTCTCACAGGCCTGCCCTGCCTCAGTTGGAAAACATTCAGGTCCACAGTCTAAATAAATATGAGCTTTATAGAGCTCCATTCCCTTAATGCTTAATTGATCTTCTTCCTCCAATATAAGCGGTCTCTTTGTTTTGTCCATAATGGCACATGAACATGACATACACAGTGGGGGAATATATACTTAGATATATATACATGCATAAATAGATACATAAATAAAAATGTAGGTAGTCTTGGCATGCAGAAAGCTAGGCACTTTCGTAAGTGTTGGAGCTAGTATGAGTGGAATTAATATTACATTTGCCAGCTGTAAACAGACATCTGCATTTCCTAGTGAGCTGCCAGGAGCCAGATTCTGGGAACATAAATGATGTGCCAAAAGCAGTGTATTGATTCCAAGTTCCAGGGACAATCATGAGCAGACACAAAGTCAGAATTAAAGGTCGGACCTCAATGTTTCAGATCTGTCATCGCTTTCAGCACCTGGAGTCGGGTTGGTGTCAGACATTGGTATGGGAATTAAATGTGTCATTTGAGTGTTCTACTGATAATAAATGTGTTACTTTCGAGTAAAATAAACGTGGAGGCTCTGGGGAGTGGATGGTTTTGGAGAACACAGTGCTTATAATGGACAAGCTAAACACGTTCTTCATGCCAAGACTTGTTCTTGAGGAAGGGACCCATCCTTCTTTGACCAGGAAGATCATCAGAACCTTCTGAACACAATATTGAGGTTGGGTCTCAGAGTAATTATGGAACTCTGTGCTGCCCTCTTCCACTGGATACCAGGAAAAATTTCTGGTGATTGCCTATTCCAGCCATGTTTCAGAGGGAAAAAAATCCTACAGTCAATCCTCATCTGTCTGAGATAAAGAAAATCAAGTAAATAAGACCCAAGGAAACTGGGCATTAGGAAAGAAAATGGCTCTTCTTTGCTTTAGACATACTCCAGCCTTTGTGTTGTTTGGGTTACTGTCATGGAGATGGCTCTGTAGAATAGTAGCCATCACCCAACATTTGAAGCACATAGAACATTAAATGCTTACTAAAGACAATATCCACACTCACATATGCTTTTTCAACTTCCCATATGAGGGTAGATTGATAAAACCTGCTGGATAGTTTTTTTTTTTTTTCCTCAAGGTGCCAATGGTAGGGATTGGGGCCTGGGAAAAAAGAAGATGAACAAAACTCTGAACAACCATTAACTCTTCATAGGCTTTCCACATGGGAAGGAAACCAAATAAGACTTACCAGGAGATTAGGTGAGAGAAATTCAGCAATGTAGTTACTCTGAAACCTCCCCCCTTCCCAAAACACAATTAATAAATATTTCCACCAAAGTAATGCCAATGAAAGTGCTAGTTTTAAGGCTATGGCCAAGCTTGTTTTTTGGTAGTTTAATGTCAAGTGCCTGATATAGTCATTTGCAAATCTAAGCAAGTGTGTTTAGTTTTTCTCATTTTTGTTTTAAGTGGGGGAGAAGGGACGTATACGTGAGCAGTGGTCAAAACACACATTTATGTTACACAGAGGGTGTTGTACATGGCCGTTCTGCAACTGTGCTAGGCGGGATGGGACAGAAGGAGAGGTAAGGCTTTGTATCAAAAAGAGGCCTTAGTCTTTGTTTCCTGAAACCTGTGCCTCATATTAGTTGATACATTCCACAGGTTGGGCAGTTCCTTCTCAAAGTCTGGGAGGGAAGGGCGCTTTGGGACTCCAGAAACTTCACAACTGAGGCTATATGTAACAAACTGTTTCTGTATGGAGCCAGTCAATTTGAACTCAACAGGGAGGTGTTAGCAAGTTCTACTTATGTTAGAAGGACTCTTATGTGAAAGAGTGGAGAACCTCACAGTGAGCAGTTAGTCTCAAAGAAAGCTTATTGCAGCCATTGCATCAGGAGTGACTGTAAATGGAAAGCTCTAGTGGTGGTTGGTGCTTCCAGTGCCAAAGGGAATGTCTTCTCTGGAGTTGTATATGGATGTCATAAGCCCCATCAGTAAAAGGAGGGGAGTAATGGCTGAGGTTGAGGTGGGATGTGGGGGTGGGGTCATCTTTTCCAATTTGACCTTGAGTCCTCATCTAGAACTAGCCCATCTCCCCTCCCCATTTCCCCCCTCAAAAAAAGCTTTTAAAGCTTAATCTATTTGGAACTGGGGAAAGGGGCATAAAATTCATTTGCAAATTCACCTTTTTATCTTTTACTCCAATAGTGAGAATTTTTTTTTTTAATTTCACACAAGCTCTATTCCTCAGAACTTATACCCAACAGCCTCTTCTACTATCCAAAGCTTCCCTTTTGATTTTAAGACAAATAAGTTTGAGCAGTTGCAGTAAAACTTCACAGGTGTGTAACTAGGAAAACAACATTTTCAAAAGATACCATATGATGAGAACTCCTAATGATCACTAAGAACAAACAAATAAAAATGTCAGTCTCATTTCCCTCATTTCTTACTTAAGAGAAGAGAAGTAAATGAAAGGAGGAAGAAATAGATTTGCAATTAAAAGATGGGGCAGCAAGACAGAGCTGAACTAGTGTAATTTAACCTTCAGGTGCAGGATCCTTGGAGTCCAAAGGAATGTGGAGTGGACTTAATTAGGCACCATTGTCTTCTTCCTGAAAGTAAGCAGTTAAGCCTCATTTCCAGTATTTTGAAATAGCTTCCTTTTTGTTTCTTTCAATGGTGCCCTTTTAAAGGCATACAGTTGTTCCATGCCACTAAGTGAAGAAAGAAAGATTGTGAACCCTCTACTATCCTTCTAGGGCCACATTCCACATTATTGGCAGATTTATAAGGTTATCCATAATAGCAATGATAAGTAATAATAACTGCCCTTGTGTTAGTTAAAGGGAGCATTTTTAAACATTCAAAAATTTTTGTGACATGTAAAGTGCAGTTGTGAGGAATGTGTGGGTGTACGAAAATGTATCTGTCAATTTCAGAGTCCTCTAGATTAAAAAAAAATTTATATGACTTATCAATGGTGCCGTTATAGCTGTGTCAGACAATGGGTGTGCCCATTCTCACAATTATCCTTAAAACAAATCTATGTTCAAATGCTTTAAAAAATTATCACATGATAGAAGAGTATAACTTCTAGAGTTTTTTTCTTTTATTTTCTTTCTTATTTTTTCCTTCAAAAATCAATGAAGACTTGATTTCTGTCAATAATTGTATTAAGGGTGAATATACTACCTGAATTTTGTGCATGTTACATTGTAGTTGTAACCTTTTCTAATTCAGGATGAATACGAGATGGTTGTGATTGTGCAGTGTATCAATAAAGTTCAAAGAAATTTGTAACTTTCAGGGGGCTGTTTATTAGGACATCTTACTGAGTATCCAGGAATGGAGAAAAGCAGGCTACGTTTTTCCCACATGCTACTTTCATATGTGTGTTTTAGGCTTTGGGGAGTAGATATAGTCAAAAAACTGAGTGGTTATCTCTTTCTCTCTCTCTCTCTCTCTCTCTCTCTCACACACACACACACACACACACACACACACACACACACACACATACATATGCATGTGCGTGCAAAGGCAGTCTAGGTATTTTCCATGTTATACCTATATATCAAGTATCTATGCCATTTACAAGTAATACAAAATGTAGCTGCAACCTCAAAGTGTAAATTATTTATTAACTTAAGTGAAAATGAGATCAGAAGTTTCAGAAAAATAATGACCAGATTCTGCTTAGTTTAGACACTCCTTAACAGTTCCTATGGCTTGAATCCACTGAATTAAGAACACACTGGCAAGAGTAAGCATGAGAAAATATGGTGACTATGCTGTACATTTATTCTTAAAAGTGTATGTCATTGTATTGTCTCTCCATCTTAGGTTTATTGTTCTATACATATGGGAAATAGCCTAAGAAAGGGACCTGGAGAAGAAACTTCCTCTGATTGCCTTTTCTGAAACAGACTTCTCTTTCAAGAAAACTCCAACACCTCTACCTTCATCACACGCCAATCTGCTTTTCTGAAGAAATGGATATTAACCTGTTTCTTACAACTCACCTAGCTCATCTTTATACATCAGCTAACCCTTCCTAGTTCTGCCATTAACTAAATATGTCTTCTTGGGCTGGACACTTGACCTTGCTTCTCTTTGATTCCTCATCTGCATCATTTGTGGATTTATACTTGTTAGTATGTTCTAGTTCAAAACTCTCAGGACAGTTTTTGTTTCTCTTTCAATTACAGGATTTATCATGACTACCCCCTAATAAAGCCTAGGACCAATGGTTAATTATAGTTTTGGAAATCAGAGAAACTGGGTTAAAATTCTTCAGTTGACTTTACAGCATGGCTAGCTCTTCTGACGAAGACCCTGAGCTAGATTTATGAGGCTTATTTCTTATTGAGTTCCTGGTAGACAAGGGCTCATTCCCAACCTTTTAAAACTCAGTTTCCCCCACAGCAGATGAAGCATGGAGAACTTGATAGACTAGGTCATGTTTTTTGTAAATTAAAATCCCAAGGAAATGGTGGTACCAATGATTGAGAGTTTCCCATTTCCTCAGACACGGTGTAAAATTATGACTTATCAGGGAAACAAATTCCAGGTCCCCTCATCATCGTAATACCTTTAGTGCTCCCCTTTCCTGTCTCTTCTTCCTTCCTTTTACTCATCCTCTTCCCATCCACACCCGACAGTCTCCTGCTTCTGTTCATACCACAACATTTACACACCTAGTGGCTCTCCTGCTGGCATAGGCATTCATTGGTCTTTCATTCCATCTGGCCACTCAGCTCCATCAGTCTTCTGTGTACCAATTTATTCTTCCATCAGTGAACCACTCACCTCTTCATTCACATATTATTTCCCCATTTATCTAACCCTTATTCTATCTATGTACTCATGCACTTCCATCATATTACTGTTCCCATCTACTTATTTAAGCCATCTATCTTTCCCTTACCTGTCAATCCATCCACCAAGCATCCCCAACTAGCCTTCAGCAGACATACTTATTTACCAAGCCACTTCCAGGTAATGAAAATCTTTGCTGTTATCTCTTCATTCTGCAAGTGAGGCTCTATCTAGTTATTCTTAAGCACAGAAGCCAAATGATTGGATACATTTTTATCTTCACCCAAAATACACCCCATTAAAACACCTATAGAGAGAAGGGCTTTAGGAAATATATGAAGGGCATACTTGTTCCTATCAGGATATGATACAGTAGGAAAAGGATGGAGAATTGGGAGCAGAGTGGAAACACCCAGATGAACAGATGTCGATGTTTAATTTTCTAACAGTGGGAATGCAGTCTTCAATGAACAAAACAAATGGTTGAGGAAATAGGCAGGAGAGACCTCAGTTGACAACCATGCCTTCTTTTCTCTTTGATTTTCTGTTGCATAAATTATTTTAATAAAAATTTGGAGGGGGGTGTTAACTAGTACCAAATCTTATGATCAGTTTTGAAAACCAAAACCTTCAAACTACAAAGATGCTACTTTTGTGGAACATGTTCATTTGATCAGTAGGAAATCCTTCTTTTTTTTCTTTATTTTTTTCCGTTTATTCATTTGTTCATACCTTGCATTTAGTGAGGAACTCCCCTTAAGAAGCTCATATCTAAGATGTGAAAACAGCTATATAAAAAGAAAATTACAGTATAATATTGCAAGTATTATGATACAGATATGAGAAAATAAGTACAGTGGAAGCAAATATTGGGAAATGATTAGGAAGCTACTTTTATCCCTTAGGGATGAAAAGCTGGAAAATAGGCAGCTAATATAGACAGTGGATGT